TAAATCCGATTCGCTGAGTTAGTAAAACTTCAATAGTCAACATCGAACAATATATCTCTCAACACCGATGAACACCATCAGATCAACACGTGAAACTAAATTACACAAAGCACACTTTCTCAAACAATTATGCTGATGCTATGAAATAACGTTCAAGTATGTTTATTTATAATGAACGATTGCGTTCAATGCTCATGAATTGTTTAAATTTACGCGTAAAACAGCAGATGCCAATTGATCTCGTTCAATATGACAACACAGCAGCACATCATCGAATATGATAGCAATGTTATAACATCGACAGCAATGGTGTTAAGTAGCTGTTATATGATAATGAAATATTTCAAGGAGAGAATAGCCTGTGATCATCGAATCAATAATGGAGAAAAGAATTTCATTACTGGATAAGATCGAAGAAACATGCGGACTAATTCACGAAATTGTTGAGTCCTATCATCAAAAAGGAGTTCGGGAGGCGGAGGTGAGCCCCAAGATGAACTAGCATAAGCACACGGAGTAATTTGATAAAGAAAAGAGATATCAAGAAAGGAGAACTGGAAACACATTGTGGCATGCATTAACCTTGGAAATGCATGATAGTGTGGCCAATCGAGGCAATATTTTGTCATTAAACGCCTCATTCGAGTTTATAGTGATTGTGCACGTAATCAACAGAAAGGTCGAAAAGATTTTGTAATGAGTTTGTTCGCGATTCAATGAATGCGTCGGGGTACAATCTCTCTTCAAAGCCATCAGAGGCAGTCGCGCAGAATAGTGGAAAATAATCACTGATCGTCAATGTGTGTATGGTGAAATACTCAGTAGTATCTGATAGACCATCGAATGCGAATGAATGAATATGACAATAAAGTATTCACAATCTCGAAAAATCATCAAAAACCATTTGAATGGTTCCCCATTTTCAAAGTATTAAGCGATGAGAAGAAATGAGTCATTCGGGAAGATAAAATATGAGATCGCGAAAACCTTCTTTGCGAAGATCAATTGGATTGAAAACAATATTTTATAGTGATACTGATCAATAATATGATTTATAATAAATTCTGCGCTGCTGACAATGAGATCATCACCACTGATGAAAGAAAATTAAATTGATGATTCGAATAAACATTTACAATAAACATTTCTGTATGCTTCTTTGATTTAAATGCCTCGGAGATATGTATTTCTGTATGCTTAATTTGAATTTTTTATTTCTGTACGCTTCATTTAAAAACAAACAAATAAGTTCCCACGTTTTTGAAGAAAGTAAGATGAGGAAGGAAGGGATCTACTGAAACAAGTTCCAGATTTATTAATGTTCTTGTGGGGAGTAGAAGTGAGTGTGGAAGTGAGGGGTTCCATTCAACAGAATGAAGAATTATTTAAGACAATTGAGCATCTGATCTTGAANTGATCATCAACGACACCTAACAATGAAATATAAGCGATTGAATGAACGCTTCAAAACATTCACTTTCGTAGTATGGACAGAGACAGGCGCACTGCACATTCAATACGGTATCCAGAAGAGAAGATTTCGTGAAGCGAACCGATTAGCCATTTAAAAAAACTTTGTCACTGTACAAGATCCATTAAAGTTTAGAAACGTTTTTTTCCCGAACAAATGTCGGCGCTGAATACATTATTGTACAATATATATAAAAATTTTCAATTCATCATTATCATTCACAATCATGCAATTCATATTTTTCTACAATGTAACAATCACATCTACAAATATTCCAAATGCAAAACAAACGCGTTAAATATGAATGAATATTCATTTATTAGATGCTTTTTTTTGGAATTTTCAAACAACANTATAAAAATTTTCAATTCATCATTATCATTCACAATCATGCAATTCATATTTTTCTACAATGTAACAATCACATCTACAAATATTCCAAATGCAGAACAAACGCGTTAAATATGAATGAATATTCATTTATTAGATGCTTTTTTTTGGAATTTTCAAACAACACAACGAGCACAAATGAATATTCATTAGCTAGAATGACGTTTGTTTGCAAAAACAAAATACGGAAAAATATCGCACCAACCTGAAATTCATCGATGAATGAAGCGCAAGCGACTATTAAACTGCACGAGTGAGAAGAGTACAGCGACACACTGCACAAAATGAATTCGACAGCGAATAGTAAGATGGTGCTTATTTGGTCAGAATCTTCAAGTAAACGAAAATGATTTAGTGCGATTGCGTTCTTGAAATATTGATGAATGCGAGCGTTCAGAAATTAGACTCACTTAGGGACACTGCACGAAACGAATGAAAACTTTATTATACTGATGAATGAAACTCAACGGCAGTTGAATATCTGAATGCATGATGAAGCATCACAAAAAAGAGTGCTTAATGAAATTTGAATTCAATTCGCGATCACGAATCGTTCCTTCCATCTCATTAGAATATTTCCACGAAAGATTTTTCATCACTGATGAAGCAGCTATGAAATATGCTGCATTAAAAATTCCATTACAAACAACAACGCCATATATCATTGTAGTTCACGGAAAACTGCACCTCATATGTCAACTATATAATTACGATACTAATGATAATTAGAAGAGCAATAATGAGAATGATAACAATATTGTTGGTGATAATAAATGTATTATAGTTTAACAATTCGAGTGAATATGCAATTGTACGAAAAGGAAATGTTCTACTAATTTGAGCGAACGCCTTCCTCCCCTTCCGTAAAATTCTCATCTAAACGAAAGTGAATCGCTCGTCTAAATTAAAAGTATCATCCATCAATCCAGTAATCCATCGTTCTCATTCATTCGACCCAATCAATTTATTGATTTACCAGAGACGACTCATTGAAATATCACTATAATGAGATTTCATATGAAAACTTCAAAGTTCATCCCATCTAATCAGTGATTCAATTCACCACATTTAATGGGTATAAACAGAAACTGCTTCATTTTCATATTGTCCCCATTTGAAACTACACTCTCACGCTTATAATTGGTCTTAAGCTTAGGCTTGCATAGCGGTTTTCGAGCTTTATGGTTTGAGATTCCTGGAGAAATATTCGAACGGAAATCGCTATTTTGAGAATTTTGAAAATGGTGCATTCGGAGGTGGCGTGCAACGAGAACGATACCGATAATTAAAGAATAAAGAACCGCAGTCAACAGAGGCGGTCAGAAAGATTTCAAACTGATAGAAATTTTCCGCAAAATGAAATGTAATTTAGACAGTGATGGGCCAATGAGGCTTTTATTGGGTGCTATTAAGTGTTTTTAACTCATATAATCGAGCATCATGAACAACACATCGCTTTCTCAATAATTCATTCACAAACGATACACACAAATATGCATTTAATCAAAACAAACGACAACGTCAATAAACGCACAACAATGAGATCACAATGGGCGTTTGTTTGTATGAACGCATACAGCTAAACAATTAAAGAGGATTGTCAATGAACACATAATCTTTGCTCACTGCGATTGGTTATTAATATCAGTGCATATAAAACAATGAATGGATTCACACTTCTTTGTGTGATCAGTGAATATTTATTCAGTGAACAAATTGTCGTAAACGGATCAACGATTCACGAATAATGATATCCAACGGTTATTTGCGTGAACAACGCATTCGCAATGAATTTGTTAGTTATAATGATGGATGGGTCAACTGTTATAATGAGAATATTATGAGTGTCATTAGTATTAACAATATTGAAAAGTGCTGTGGACATTCATGGATTTTACGAATAGATCTACCTCTTCAGTATTCAACTGTCTATGACGAGGTACAAAACGATGAAAGGAACAAATATCATTCTCTGCGAATGAACCCTCTGAATTGGCATTAGTTTGAATGACTAATTAAATTCAGAGCAATTGGAATGATATAAAACGAAGATTACGCACTCAATGCGCTCTAAAACCATTCAATGGATCGCTGATCGGATGACTGATCGCTTTTTATTTTTCGTTCTCAACGAAAACAAAATCCATTTGAATGACACAATCAACTCGTTCCCAGTAATTGCACAAAAGTTCAACGTGAAAATGAGGAATATTCCAATGAATCAATGCTATTTAAACACCAAATACACTGTTGAATGTATATCCTCGTTAGCAACATAAAAATCTGATCCTCAATGCCACCGAATATTTCAAATGATCGAAAAAAGAACATTTCAAATCTGCAGCAAATTTAAATATTCTTCTCCTTTGAATGACAAATTAATATTCATAAAATTATTAAAATCATTCAACCATTTTACAGCGTATGTACAGACAAATATCCAATTTTTGGTGAGAAAGTGAAAAATTCTGCAAACGCAATAAATAATTCCTTCGAACTTTGAAACGATCATCGTAAAATGCGGACAATTCGATAAGCAAAATGTTGTTCGAAACGCATAAAAACATCGACAATAACCCACTCTCAAATAACATTAATATTCACATTACACAAACAAATGAAAAAACGCATAAAAACTAGAATGTACACTTGAAAAATAAGACAAATTGTAAGTGCAAAATAGAGCGGTGATCAAACTATACATGTGACTACTAACAAGTATGAAAACCAACATCAACATCTCCAAAAAAAAAGACAATCAATCTGCAGACAGAGTACAAAACATTGTAAACATTGAAAATATTGAAACATGATCAACATATAGAATTTCAAACTAGAAACGAAATTTACGCAATGAATATATGATACAGATTCAGATTCTACTCGAAAAGTAGATGCGTACGGTTCCACTAGATGTTAAAATAGTGCCTTTGAGATGGATAATACTTAGTCACAAACGAGAATTAAAGAGTCAGTGAAGTGGTTTGTAGATGAGTGAAGAAATGAATAAATAGGCAAATGTTGTGTGTACGCGAACAACTGATCAATTCGAACAGGTAAATGACAAATATCATAACTAACGAGCAATTCAGTATGAAAAAAAAGTAACAAGATGTTTTTTGAAGTGAAACGTCAACTTCTAATCGCAAATGTTAGTGTTCATTTGTGGACGATGGTAATGGAGATGAATTAAGAGGTTGTTTTTGCTGCTTGTGTACGACTGTTTTATCGTCATCATCTGAATTGCTAATATCCCCAAACACCTGCGTTTCGGCCATGTCAGACGATGGCTCTTTGGCGATTATTTCTTCTGGTGTTATCACCTTAACGTATTCACCTCTTTTTATACTAGCATTCAATTATGTATTCACATTCACTATTAAATATTTTAGCACAATACCAGAACAATCGAATAAATGAAACATAAAATTCCCAAGATATAGTGAACTAACTGTTCATTCAATAATGCGAATATGAAGATTATTTCTAGTGAAGAACATTGATCTATTATTCGAAGACAGTTCGATTATGATGAAATTTTTAAATACGAATTAAAGCAATAAAATGGAGAATCACAGCCGATAGCAAAAGCAATAATCGTCCCAAATGGGAGCCACTGCCATCTCAAAACCAG